GCCTTTTCCCCCGAAGTTAAAAGGAAGAGGCCAGTATGGTTGAAAACTCTCCAGCCCCATTGCCAGAAAGGGCAATATATGGATTTGCCCTTTTTTTAGGATCGTGGTTTGGCTTTAGTAAGTATACTGGGTACTGAATACTTCACTGAAAAGTGTTGCTTTGCTTACAAGACAAATGTAATTCTGTTAAGACCATCTGAAAGGGGTCAAAATTGTATTGCACCGCCTATTGTAAGGGTGCATGATGAAGGACTTGAGTGAGCATTACTTGCCAGACCTGTCAGTTGTTACGAAGATCTGCCATTGCTTTTTGTGATTTCCTCATGCTTTGGCTGTCTTCAACCTTATTATGGGGTCTTTAATAGTATTATGGAGTCAAATTATTTAAAAAATTCTCTGCATCCTCATTTTAGTAACTTTTTTACTTGAATTGCATACATTGTCGCTATTCAGTAACCATTGTAGATGGTAGTAGTGCAACCTTGCCCACCCAAATAAAAAAAAAAATTAATCTGGTCAACAGCAATGGAAAATGTTTATGGTCCTACCAGCATTTCTTTGCTGGTGCGACAGGTGTTTAGTATTTCACTGGGGATGTCTTGAGTGCCCACACAGGACCAAGGCTTGAGAGGGTGAGAACACTTTTTCAACACGAGAAAAGGTGCTGCAAATATACTGTAGTCAAATAATAAACCAAGATCCTAATGTAAGTCTTTCTTACCCTTAGGAACTAAGTAAAAATAAAAGTAAGTTGGTTTCTGTTCCTCCCACAGGAAGCCACTGCAGTTCCGTAACTTGTGTCACTGGCTACTAACCTGTTTCCCTCAAGTTTCGTTAAACCTTACTCTGGATTTGTTGTTAGGGAGCAAAATTTCTCAATATTGGTTTTCTTGACATGAAAATTACTAACTTTCCGAGAATCAGAAAGTATTTCCAGTAATTTTTTCCGAACAGTTCCATCTAAGCACTGCAATTCTACCAACTTTTCTTTCAACTAAATGACCCACACTGTGATCGTTTTCTGCTGCAGTATTTTCTGCGTTCAGTGCCATTTGGCATCCTTTTACTGAGGGCTTTTTTTGTTCTGCAGTTCAATGTGCAAGAAATTCTTGTCTGTCTACATAGGAAATCAGAAACTAAATGTTAAAGCAAATATAAAAATGATATCTTATAACCAGCTACAAAACATTGCCCCTGTATTGGGCAGGTCTTGTGTCTGAGAGGCATATTCTACAATGTTTTGGTAGAGCTATTTTGCTTTAAATAGTGTAAAAGCAAAATATTGTCTCAGCATGTATCAGTAGGGAAGTATTGCTCTAAAACTTAGGAATGAAGTCTAAAACAGTATCAGTTGTATTATTATGACTTTTTAATTCTTTTGTGCAGTGTTGTATCTTATCTGGGCATATGTTCCCGAGACTTGGCTGTTCTCATTGGGACTAACATACTGGCCCCAAAAGTAAGTTCAACCAGTTAAACTCTTTAGCCTGAATATGTGTGAGTATAGGACACCCTTAATTATTTTCAAATAGCAAAACCTTCTTTTAAATATTGGTATTGTATTTAATCCAGTTTTTCCTGATGATAAAGGACTGTAATCTTTGTGAAGCATTATTTTATGTAGATAAGTAGCTATGATGAAAATTTTTCATCGTGTAATGAAAGAAATAACAATTTGAATGTTTTATGATAAATTTGACATTTTGTTTCCAGGAAGTTTCTTGATGAAAATACAGTAGACTTTAAACTGTAATTAAAAAAACCAAACCCTTCTGTAAGGAACCTGTTTGACGGTTTATACCAAACTAGCTACAGTGACTCTGCAGTCAGTAATCTTCTTGGGAGGGACAAGGGTCCATATTCAGAGGTGCTGTTTCTTTTCCTCCTGGCTAAGTTTGTGCTGGATACAACCATTATGTTAAATCTGTTATATCATTAGCCATTTGTTATTATGATACGTAAATTTTAAAATCTTTTTCCTCAGGTACTGGGCGGTTGCTTTGCCGGTGTACCTACTAGTTGCTATAGGAATTGGTTATATATTACTTTTTGGTATTAACATGATGAGTACAGCTCCACTTAACTCCACACATACCATTACAGGTAATTTTATTGGGTTTTTTTTAAGATTTTGATACTTCACTGATAATTTCTGTAAATATATGTATGTAGCCATATATAATATAAATAAAATTTTAAACTTTTAAATGTTTTGGTCTAGAAAAGGAGTTCTTGGAAGTACTGAAGTACTAGAGTGAAAAGATAGCCACGAGCCTGACTCTTCCCTCTTTGCCATCCTATGGCAGTGGTTTCCAACTAGTGGAGTGTACTTTGTCAGTAAAACAGACCGCATTAGAGGAACAGGGGTTAGGCATCTAAAGCTCTCCCAGGCGTGTACCTTGCATTACAAACCAGTGAAGAGTGTCATGGGAAGAAGGGCGTGAGTACCTACCTGGCAGTGGCAGAAGTGGGAAGGCACGCGAAATCAAGGTGGTGCAAAGGAGGATGTTGCAGTATTGAGACCTGATCAGATATATTAGTGATTCCCTGTCTAAAGAAGTTGTTCTTCAGTTTTTCTCTCAACTTTTGCGTAGCCTTTACTCCTGCCAAGGAGACATGTTCTAGGCATTCACAATATTCTCCAGGCGGCTGCATCTTCCTCCACATGAGGAATTCCACCACTATTTGCAGAGGGCCATTTTTGTTAGAAAAAATGCAGACTGTAAAATCTGGCAAGAAAGTTACCTATTGCTAAGGCTGCTGAAGTTGCATCATTTTAACGAACTATGTACATAGTATTACACTACACTGAACTGCTAAGGAAAAAAATTAGTCAGGGCTGTAGTTCAAATGCATTACTCCGACACTTCTGTCAAGAACTGCCATTTAGTCATCCCAGTGTTCCTGACTACTCGTTCACGCTCTCATGTCACCCTCTCATTTGGTGTCAGCCCAAGAGTTTGTGTGGCTGTATGGCAGGTGGGATGGGGACCTACTCTGAAGAACAACTATATTTGACAATTTTCCTTTTCAGAGGGAGCAGTTCCATAAGTGCACCTGTAAAAATGTTTATGCTGTTACAGGAGCGGGTGCTGTGTGGTGATGGGAACAAGCAGCCAAGATACAGAGAGGGTGGACAGCATCTCTCAGAAGAAATCCTAGTACAAAGCATTCAAATTACAGACTGAGCTGTTCACTGTGGGGTTTTTTGTTTGTTTGATTGTTCTTTTTATCTTTGGGTAGTTATGGTTTAATGTCGTACAGCATCTTAAACCAAGCAAAGGCCCAGACGGTGATTTCAGCAGTTTTTTAGGGTTGATTTCTTCAGGGGCTCTGCTAATACGTGTTGATGTAAAGTGTTTCTGATTACCATCTCATTATACCTCAGCAAGATGGGTTTTCAGCACCCCTTACAGTAGTTAAATTTATACAGTGTTGCATTATATAACATTTCTTGAAAGAAAAATATCTTTAATATGTGAAATGTTCTCATTGTCTCCTGTAGATAACTATGCAAAAAAGCAGCAACAGAAGAAATTTCAAGAAGAAGCAATTCCAGCATTGAGGGATATTCCCATCAGTGAAGTAAACAGAATGTTTTTCCTTCCTGAAAAAGGAATCTGCAATAGCAGATAGCTGTTATTAAGATCTGTTTGAATAAAGGATTAGTAGAAGTGTTACATAAGGAAAATCAAAACCTCTCTGAGCTAAAAAACCCTCTTTGTGCTTGTAGAACAAAGCTTTTTTTTCCCTGCATTTCTAACTAAATTTATGTTAACACATTTCATTGAGATGGCATGATTTTAGTATTACGCATGCGCCTTAATAACCTGCATTGGTATGAGAATTATGCCACATTAATTTATCTAACTGTTCTTGTGAGTTTAAAATAGCATTCTATTACTTGTAGATTCCTGCTTGTAATTTCCCTCTGAGAGTGAAAGCAGACACTTTTGGACATAGCTTAATTCTATTCCCCTTTGAATTCAGGGAGAGAAAATGTGTTCTGCTGGTCAAATGCTTGAGGATCTTTTTTTTACAAGTTATGTTAATTTGAAGTGTTTACATTGTAAATATACAGTTTTCATTTGTAAATATTAATAAAATGTAGCTAATTTTTACTTGTTGAAGTTAGCCATTTTTCTGTGGTTCTATATTTGTCCTGGGTAAAGGTGCATAGTGGTCCATTTTTCTTTACACAATTACTCAGCAAAATATGTTGGGTTTTTTTTCCCCCAGATTGGTGGGCTTATTGAAATACCAAGGTTACCAGAAATAAGGAAGGTGGGTTGTGAAGATTTTCTGAAACAAGTCTTGAAATGACTTTTTTTTTAACCGGTCTTAAGAATACGGAAAACTAGGTTCAAGGAAATTTCTGGAAATACAGGAACAAACAGGTCCATCTTATTATAGTCTAGTTTGTAGCACAAAGCACAATAACTTGTTACGGCAGTGGTTCAGATGTTTCTTAAACAGTGAATTTTCTTTCACGTATGCATTATTCAGCAGAGACACAATTTTTATCTCCTTTCTTCCAAGAGTCACAAACCCAGTTATCTTGAGTAGTCAAGGTTATTTAGTTTGGTTATAAAGACCAGTGAATGGTCTTTACCTCATTACTGTTTGTTAGGCCTATAAGCCAACTTCTGACCAGCAGAGAATTTAGTTAAAAACATCACTATTTCATTAAAAGATAATAAATTTGTGAGAATTTGTGTGAAGAGTCTTAACGCCAGTTCTTTAGAAATCGGTCAAAACAACCATCAGTTGCTGTGGGAAGTCTTAAGACCTGGTAACAGTCAATCTGGTATGAATATGAAATTTGTAGTTTCTTGGTCCTCTAGTCTTTAGTAGTTTGCCGTTCTTTCCACCTGCATTTGAAGGAAAAAACCATGCTAGGTATTATGGGTAAGAGAAAAATACCTTCTTAATGAAGGAAAAAATGCTTTTCAGCATTTCACTCTGAAATAGTAGATTTTAGGTGTATCATTGTTTGGGGGCACTTCATAAGAATGAGTATTTGTACCTATGCCTAATGACTGTAAATTGGTACAATGTTTATTTGTTTGATAGTCGTAGACTTCCTTGTGAAGTTTTGGTTTTTAGTTTGCCCCCACTTATTGTTATTTTCCCCTCCTGCCACAGTTTTGCCCGTCTATTAATTTTAATTTACGTGCTCAAACACCCATCCATAGGGTGAATTCAAGATTTTATGATCAACAGACATGAAGATGTATTTACTTTTTTGTCAATTCTCTAATTACATTGTAGACACTGAAGTATTGACTGTAGTCTTTTTTTCTGTGTAATTTCTACCTGTGTTCTATGTTCCTTTTGCTTTCTGAGAAAGCAATTTCGTTTTTAATTCTAAATTGACAACAAGTGAAGTGCACGTTTCTGGTATCATTTGATGTAAGGATTAATTTAGTCCCCTGTTAAGGATACCCAAATCCCTTCAGGCTAAAGAAAAGCTACTGGAAAATGTCCTCAAGCCCTGAAAGCACACAAATTAAAGGACTGTAAACCTTGGACAAAGATTGTATCAGTGATGAATCTGCCATTTCATTTAACTGCAGACCTCACAATTATGGGAAAACTAACAGAGGCACCTAAGTGAGTAGGCAAACCGGGGCCGTTTGTTTAAGTAAAACTTGCAGGCATGAAACTCAATCTTTGCTTTTCTGTCACTCCTGTGTAGCGGTGCTTCAAAGACACTGTAGTGACCTTTTCTTCAACTTGGGAGTAATGTTTGACACTTCAGAAATTGCCTCTGTGATCAAAATAAAACCAGGTAGCGCAGTGTATATGGGCTAAGAAATATATTGTAGGGAATTGCAGGTGTTTGGGATCCATCGTTTCACTGTCTTGCCTACGACTGTGACTCGGGGAAAAATGCGCAACTCTGCCAGCAAAGAGGAGAGAGATTGTGCCTTTTGCAACTCTACGGCACACTTGGAGCTATAGTTAGTTACTGGGATTTATATGGATTTTGCCCTAGATATTATTCAGAAAGAAACCTGAAATGACTGAACCGTGTTGCTAGTAGGGCCTTTCTTTACAAAACATACCTGTTCAAAGACTGGATATCAGGTATCCATTCTTCTCGGAGACTGAGGAAAAACTAAATAAATAAAGGCAAAAACCTAAATTTGCCCCCATTTTCACCCTTCTGACTTATTGATGGCGTATTGCTCCAGCACAACCAGTAGAGCTGGACCAACTGCCATGTCCCCGCTGAAATAAACCAAATGATGAAACTTCAGCCGTGCTTTTTAATGCACCTTCTAGGATTCTGCAGTTTTTATCATATTGAAGTCTGATGGTATTTTACACATCTTGCTGTAAACGTAATCTTGTAAGACAGGTTCCCCCCAAATGGTACTTGAATTAATGTGTGCATAAACATGTCATAAAAAACCAGCAAAGTTGCACTGTTTCAAATGAAAAGGTTGCATGCCAAAGGAAATAATACAGCCGTGGTTGCCAAATTTGTGTAAAGGTGATAGAGTATGTCTCTCTTCTTTCCCTCTTAGCTGTAAAGGGAAGGGTAGTAACGACACAGATTATTCTCTCAAGTTGAGAATTATGGAAAGAAGAACTTTGGGAATAGAGTCTCATGCAAATGGTTAAAAAGGGAAGCTATCTTGGATTTTGGTCTTTTGCATCGCACTGTATTGAATGCCGTAAGCTCGGAGGCTTCAGCACAAATACAGAGTGTATGCATGTGAAGTAGCAGAAGAGCGAAATTCTTTGTGTATCCACATAATTTCATTTTTATTGTAAGCATTAATAGAAGTATTTTGCCACTTCAATTGAGATCAACAAGGAGCTATAGTAAAAGAGGTAAATGCTCTGTTGTGAAGTTCAAAGGTATAAAGCATGTGGAGTAAAATACGCAAGCACATATGAGTAAAAAGCTAGCACAGTTTCGTTTGTGTTTACTGTTCCTACAGATAGGATGACTGGAATAAGAAAAGGAAAGTAAAAGAAGCACGGCATCTCAAATATTATTTCAATTCGTAGGCATGAAAGTGATGTCTTTGCAGGAAGCAATGCTGAGTTTCAGCAGTAGTAAAAAGGAGTTGTCTTTCTCCTTGAGATACGCAGGTATATTTTTACTGTTGCCTAAAGCATTCTGAAGTGTACAGGCCACTTAAAAACACTTTAAGCATACTATGGAATGCTGCCAACTTGATTTGATGATCTTTAAAATAACCATTGTTTGTGATTGGGGCTGGAGAATGGGCTGATAGGTGAGTTACAAATTATATTAGTCTAGATTTTTTTATGGCGAAAGTTCAGATATCAGTAAGTACAATCAAAGACCCTCTCATATAAATCGGAAAGCTGTAATATTGAATGTTGATGCTGTTGCTGCGGGCAGCATTTCTGTAAAGTTAGAAATTGGCCCGAATCGGGAGGGCTCATACTGCCCGCAATGCAGGTAGTGTGCCTGAAGCTTTTCTGAGAGTAGGAGCAGGGAAAATGTCCGTATGTTTTAGTCCCATAGTGTAGATCTCTCTCTGGTGCTCTGGCTGTTCACTGGTACACCTCTGTGCTAGCTGGTCTGTAAACATTAAAAATGCAACTCTGCCACCAAGGGCAAGTGAAGCGTATACAAGGCAAGGTGGTGGTAAAGTAATACTAATGGGTTTTGTTGTTCTTTTTAGTGGGCCTTAAGATGCTGCAAGCTAAATCAGGCAAAGTTAGGCCAGAAAGATACCTTAATGAAGAGAAGAGATTGTAACTGTAGAAACAGTGAACTTACCATCTCTGACAAAAACAATATGAGAATGGAGGTAATGGTGAGTTGCTCTAAATAGCGTGCGAGTATTCTTCCTCTTCTCCCCTGCTCCAGCTTTCAGTCCCAGGAGAGTGTAACAAATCAATGTCTTGGCTGTATCTGTAGCAATTCAGTTTTATAAGAGTGATAAGAAGCTATGAGATCTTTGCCCTAATACAGTGTTTCTCCAATACTTAATTCACATTCATGCCAAAGCTCCCACCTACAGGTACAATGAGAAACTCGCCACTAAAGCTCTTTTTCAAAAGACTTTTTGAATGCTTGATTTCTTTACCAGGCAGTTTCTGTGGACTTCAGTTTCATTTGTGGGCGTAAATGATAAAGTATTTCTGACTTACAAACAGAATAGTTAATAACTGATTTTGTGTAAATACATTTTGTTCCATAATGCACCTTTTCCATGGGCACTTGAGTCTGAGTGGCTGAAATGTTTAATGCAAAGTCCTGCTTGCTGCTGTGCTGTTAGATTTCCAGTCAGTTCTAAAACAACTGAGATGAATGGGGGGTTTTTGTATCTCTCCCTCTATTCATCAATTGAACCGTATTCTGAGGAGAAAGTTTTGGAAGCATTTAGTCTTGTTCTGCCAGTTTCCTCACAGAGAGATTGCCAAAGTAAATTTTGTTGGTATGCTGGGCAGTTTATGTATCAACTTAGCCTTCAATCTATCAGCCTTCTGCTAAAAGCAGCTGATAGATTAATCCAGTCTGGAAAGCAAGATTAGATGGAGTGTAATTAAATGGCAGATATTTCAGTGAATTGGATGGATTTTCTGTCTAGAGCTCATAAAACCGCTGTTGTGAAGATTGCCTTTTCTCAGTTGTGGCGATTTAGTCCTGCTACTGTTGTTAATACAACAAACATATATACTCTTTATTTACACTCTCAGTGTAAATGTAGCTTAGAAAAAAAATTGTTCCTGTGATAGTTCTTTTTCTCTTAATCCAAATTATTACTGCATCATATTTAGAAAGAGCACTCAACAAACGTCAATGTCTTGCGAGGATATGCTTCCCTTGGATATATGTGTCCTTCAAGAGCGTGTCTTAAAAGAGCTTAGAAGTAGAATTCAAGACTGTTTTATGAACATACTTAAATCTTGATTTTTCACATGAATGCATACAGTAGAAGTATAAAATTGTAGATGTTGTCTAGATACCTCTCCAGCATTCATGTACCATTAGCGGAATGTTCCAAGCGGAACATTAACTTGTCTTTTACTATCATAATTTTAGACAATGGAAATCGAAAGGTAGCATTTGCTGGAAATGTTACAGCTGTTGAACTACTAAGGGAAGTTCTGTGGAACAGAGATCGTGAGCCAACCATTTAATCTGTAAAATGCTATGTTTCTAGTCTTGTCTTTGAAGTAGTGAGCTCATGATAAACTCATTCTTCGGGGATGCTTTGTTATCTTTTTCCTGTAAATGATGGATGATTCTAAGGTCACTGAAAACTTAACAAGGTCAAATCGCAGATGAAGAAACAAACCAGAACTGAAAACTGAAAGTTAACTGCTGTTGAATAACAGAGATGCTATATTACTTCACTTTTAGTCTTCTCTTAATTATTAACAAACTGGTAAGGGGTCGCAATGCACATTTTATTTAAGTGTGCAAATAAGGGTATGTTGACATTGTAACATGAAAAGACAGTCAGTTATTCAACAAAAAAAAATGCTGGCCTGATGGGAAAAGGATAATACAGTTTTGGCTTCCTCTAATGACTGTAGTTAAATATTACCAATCGGGTAAATAGTACCGTAATATTACCTTAATTTGAAAATGGAATTTGACAATACAGGGGAAACCAAATAGAATGTGTTGCAGAGACTGAGAAGTTCAATCAGTTTAGGCCGATACAATGTTGTCAGACCTCAGCAGATGTGCAAGATGATTTATTTTGATATTTCTAACAGCCTTTGCTAAGACGGTCATCCATTACCCGATTATATTTTTCTAATGGTGTCTGTTCTACTGTCTTAAAGAACACTTCTCTTAAGCTATTTTCGTCTGTTTCAGAGGTGTAGATTTGTAACAGCACTCGCTTATGTCATTGAATCTGCATCTGAAGCATCCAGGATGTAGCCCATTTATGAACATTGAAATGGCTGTTTCATGTGAGACCAAAGATAGATATAGCTAATATCCTGCCTCCAACACTGGCTAATAGTGCCTGCTATAGTAGTAAGAGCAAAGATTAAGGCAAGAAGCTAGTAATGTTTCCCCAGAATGCCTCCCCAGCCTGCAACAATGTGAAACTTCTGAGCCAGATGTTGTCTTTGTATGTTTCTTACGAAAATCTTTCATTTACGTTTTGTAAGTAGATAAACTCTTGGTTTAAACAACATCACAGCATAATCACAACTTGGGATAAGTGCTTCCTTTTGTTTTAAACTCGCTGCTCACTATTTTCGTTTGACGTTCAATCATTCTCCACCATCTCCAAGCCACTCAAGATGTTAAAGACTACATTTATATACTCAATCACGTCTTCCAGGCTGAAAAGTTCTGATCTGTTTTGTTGTTTGTGTAATCTATATACTTGATCATCCTTCCCCCCTGCCTCTTTATTGCATTAATGTCAAGTATGAGTATCATTTTCTAGGATACAGCAGACTTACGGCTCGCATTCTGGGTAGTCAATCTGCATTTATTCAGTGGCCACTCATCTGGGTTTTCCAAACCTCCAGCATTTGTCTAAAACTGCTCCTCTTTTCTGCCTAGGAATATTGTTAATGGAGCTACTGTCCCACTTGGTTTGCTGTAGGTCTGGAAATTCTGGACAAGTTCAAAATGTTCAGATTCTGTCGGGACATGTTACCAGGAAACTTGGAATAAGATGCCT